AACGCAAACTTCTTGAAAGAGATGAATTTTTTCCATGGCATTCTTTTTTAAAGACATATTTATTATAGTCAATTTTTCTTAATGATTAAAGAATCTTGATAATATTCAGATAAGTTAGATTAAGACTCTAAAAGTAACTATCTGAGCCTTACTTCTGGTCTCTTTGATAAGAACAAAAGTGACAAATGTAATACTCTAATACCGTAATCCTCTGGCCAAGCAAGTGTGCGTGCACGTGTGTGCGTGCGTGTGCGTGTGTGTGTGTGAGATCTGACACCTTCTCTATGACTCAGGCGGATACCCTAATCTTTACATTTGAAAGCTCATGTGCCCTAACTTGTCTGCTCTTCCTTTTCTGAGACTCCTATTCATGCCTCAGGATCCAGTTTCAATGTTATCACCCAGTTTCCCTGAGCAGTTATTACGCACTCTTTCGGACCCCCCCCCCAAGATATTTGTGCGTTTTTCTAATATAGTACATTTCACACGGCACTGAATGAGGATAAGTACCTTTCTCCTACCAGAGTCTGAGCTCTTTGCTGCGCTGTTATGCATTTAGCATAGAATTAGCTGTACTGCGCATATAAGCGTTTGTAAATGAATGAGCAAACAAAGGATTGACACATGGGTGAATTAACCCATGAATGCCAGAGTCAGACCCCAACCCAGAGTCAGAATTATTCAGGTCAGGTTGTCCTTAAATCATATCGTGATACACACTACCAATATCCTTTCTCCTACTGCCACGTTCTACAAGGAAAGCAGAATCCCATGCATTTTTCTAAAGAAATATGACTCTGTTCACCTCTGGCCTTTGAGATACATTCCCAACATAAACTTGAAAACAAAAGAATTACATAGACGGAAAGAGACAAGTTACCCCAAAACACATTGTAAATTAATTTTTGCTGCATCTACACATTCATGTACTTTTCGTGAGGGGAAGTCTGCTATTTCCCCACATCTCCTCTTAGCCTTCTTTCATAGTAACACACAACCTCATTCAGGCAAAAAGTCTTTAAGCTACAATTTTTACTGTACCCTTGACCCCGTCAACCGCCCCCCTGGGCGCGGTGGAAAACCTGCGTGCCGCTGCACTACTGATCGCCAACTGTTGACTAGAAGCCTTACCTGCAACATAAGCAATTAACACACATTTTGGATACTAGATCCTTACAATAAAGTCAGCTATCGAAAAGACAATGTGAAGAAAATGGTAAGGAGGAGAAAGTACATTTACAGTACTCTATTGTATTTATTAAATAAATAAATAAATAAACAAATAAAACCTGCCTATCAGAGGACCCGCACAGTTCAGACATGTGTTGTTCAAGGGTCAACTGTATTTAATAACAGAATCATTGCCAGTTTCCCTTCTTTCCTTCTCCCAGTCTCACCACAGTGAAATGTGATGTTTTGGTCACTCCCGATTTCCACTGCCACACCAGATATGGTAACCACAACCCCAATGGAAAACGTAATTCCCGGCCACGGAGGAGCCCTGATCTAATTTCCATTCCCCTCTCCTGCCTCAGGTACAGACCAAAGGGAAAACCATCTGGCTTCCCAGAAAGCTTTCTTCCCAGCTCTACACGCAAGGGACAAAAAGACCTCGCGGCACACACACTTTGTGTACGCAGAGAACATCACGCGTCAGGCAGATAAGACCCAAGAGTGAATCCCAACAAATCCAAACCACACATTCTTGAGATCCAGAGTAGGAAAAGACACTCCAGATAGGCAAGTCAAGCTGTTCGCTTCATAGACGAGGAGAACAAGAGCCCTTGCGAGTGGCAGAGACAGAATGAGAGCCCAAGTCTTCTGACTGCGACTGCCACATTCTTACCACCTTACCATCTTTTCCCAGCCTCAGCCATATCCGCCTTGGGCGGGACCCACCAGGGACGACATATCACAGTGCAGCTTAGTGTGGGAGTCGGAAGATGGGGGTTCTCCCTTCCAGCAGAGTCCTAAGTACACCTGACCACAGGGGCAGAGACACAGCGAGGGCCACACCCCTGTGTTTAACGAAGCAGCAAAATAAATCACAACGCTTAGTTCTTTTCAGCCCGACAAGTGTTTATCGAGCACCTACCTGCCACGTGCAGGTGCAGGCCAAGTGGAACCCTGAATGCTGTGCCAAAGAACACAGGCATTCGCCTTCAAAGGTAAGCATCTGATCTACGTGGACAGCTGACATTCATTTGCGAGTTCTGAAGGGCAATTCTCCCAGGAGTGTGGAGAATGGATTGGAGAGGGGAGAAGCTTGGTGTACAGAAGCCTCTGGAGACCGCTCTCCAGAAAGGAAATCACAGTATGCAAAAGCGTTCCCTTCCATACTTTCCCCTGAGCAGTTCCCAAGCCTGCAGGCACTCTGTACACGAGAAACTGGGCATTCCCCAAGCACGGGGCGGTGGGGGGAGAGGAGGCCTTTCCTCGGACCCTCCCCTTCTAGCTGGGGTTCCACGACTGGGGTTGTCGGCCAGCTGTGTGGCTTTGTGGCCACATGGCGGCGGAGGTGGGACGTCTACTCCCAGCCACACACTCGGTGGGCTTCCCAGAAAACATGCCAAGAGGGGGTTCTCCAACTTTCTGCCACCTGGCCACCGTTTCGGAGAGTCCTGTCACTGATAATGACCGGGCCTACCTTCGGGGTACATTCTAGAGCCCGCATTCTGTCCACAGCCTGTGTTGCTGACGGGGCCTACAGAGGCAGGCAGCTGGAGGAGGGGAGAGACGAGCAAGAAGCCACTGAAAGAATCCAGACGGGGAGATGAGGCTCGGCTGGTCCACACACACAGAGGCCACTGTGCTGGACACAAAGTTCCACTGCTCTCCTTGTCAACCACGAAACTGCAGGGGCGTGCACGGTGGTCCATGGAGAGGGGAACAAACGTGGCCTCTATCTGAGTTTAGTCATTCGTCACAGCCTTTACAAATGTTTACCTTAATACGGGTTTTATAAATTATAACAATCTATATGAACTATATTTTATACAGAGAATCCTTAAGTAATTTAACATACACTGTTGAGACCCAGACTCGAAAAAAATTGTTTGGGTGGTGATATGTGATCAAAAAAGCCTAGAGACCATGGTGATAAACCAGTCCCTCCACCCACTAGATGTCAGACTGTGCCCTCCACACAAGAAGCGTTTTATTGAGTTCAACTGTGACCGACCTAATTAAATCCACACGATATACCTAAAAGTGGAAAAAAAAAAAATTTGAGGGGGTGACAAAGGAGAACATCATTTTATGTTTTAAAAGTTTAAAAGCTTCCTTATACCTTGTATCTTTGCACTTAAAAGTGCTGGCAAAGATAACTTAGGCAGTAAATAACTTGATCTAAACCACGAACGGTGTTTCAAAAGCTCAACCCAATCCTATGCTTAAAAAGAGACTTTAAAATCATCTATTTTCTCAAGGACATACTTCTTTTTAAAAGACTTAAACATCTAGCAAAATCAACCAATCTAGACTCAAATTTCACCAAGGCAGAAAAACCAATGTCACATCATTGAAAATGGTGTGTGCTATCTTCAAATGACACAGGACACTTACTGTCATCTGGGGATCTTGCGTCTGAAAGCATTCCAACCCCTGCATGTGTATGTGTGAGTACACACACATATTTTCTAATATGTGGACAAGAAAGGGGTATATCTAGACAACGTTCCTCTCCATTATGTATAAAGATGCCCTTCATTTCTGCCTCCCGTTCTCAGTTTCTTTTAATTTTCACCTTTTTGTGGATCTAATCAAACTTCTCCTATTGCCGATAACGTGGATTAAATTCTCATTTGGCCACCGATAATGGCAAGGAAAAACTAAAGGCTGGTTTCACTACAAGCGTTTTTTTGGCGAAAATTCAAGTTGGTATATAGTAACTAATAATCTATTATTCATACTCATACATTTAGCAAAAACAAAAAAAAATGCATTAAGTTCCTACTGTAAAGCATGCACTGTGTTTTAGAAACTGCTAGTACAGGGGCGCCTGGGTGGCGCAGTCGGTTAGGTGTCCGACTTCAGCCAGGTCACGGATCTTCGCGATCTTCATGATTCGCTGACCTCGCTGTCCTGTGGAGCCCCAGCCCCGCCCGGGCTGGCTCTGGGTTGATGGGCTCCTGGAGCCTGGAGCCTGTTTCCCGAGCCCCTGTGTCTCCTCTCTCTCTGCCCCTCCCCCTGCTCATGCTCTGTCTTCTGTCCCAAAAAATAAATAATGTTGAAAAAAAAAATAAATAAAAAAATAAAAAAATAAAAAAAAAAGAAACTGCTAGTACAAGTAAAGAGATAACAAAGATGTAAAGTCAGTCCCCTTCGCTCAAAGCAGAAGCAAGGACTTTGTCTCACTCACTGCCATCCCAGAGCGCCTAGAATACCACCTGGCACCTGCTAGGATACGATAAATACTTCTTCAGTGCCTCCTTCCGGGAGCTTACAACCCGGTAGAGATGGGAAGTGAGACCGGAAAAAAAAAAAAGAAACTTATGATACTTGCAGATAATTATAATATTTTTATATTCTTATTCACGTACAAGAATATCTGGCAATAATTTCCATCCCTCTCTTCCCTCTACATAATGAGAGTCTTATGGAGCTCAGAGAAAGGGTTTATACTCACTGCATGGCTGTCTGTTTCTAGTTTTAATTACACTGCTTTGCAAAGCTTAGGAGAAGATAATTTCAATTCATTTCAAAAATAACTCCCATTCAATACAAGAAGATGGGATTTTTCACGCTTGTGAATTTTTTATTTACTTGACAATGAAAATGGTTTGGCATATAAATAAAGCATTTTCTTAGAAACTTGGGTCTGGTGAAGGTCCAGGGCTGATATCTATAAATACAAACAGAATGGTTTTTCTCAAAAAGCAAGAACTTACGCTCTCCTTCCAAAGAGACTCAGCTTCATTTCTAGATATGTATCATCTACAGAAAATGCAGTTCCAATCAAATAAAGCATGAAGATCGGCAAAGTCTCTCCCAGTACTTACTGATCCATACAGCTCCCCCTTCTCATTCATCCCGAGGTAGAGTCCACTGTCCACGCCTCGAATGCTGACCAGGCCCACTGCTATACTGATAAATTCCAGAATGCCTAAGAGACAAATGGCAGAAGGCAGAAGACAGGTCAGAGCACAGAGCAATTCCTTAGTCTCAGCATCCCTAAGACTTTTTGAGAGGACACTGAGCCCAACTCCCAACTTGGATAATCTCACACTTATTGAAGAAGTGTCTTCTCTTGGGGCGCCTGGGTGGCTCGGTCAGTTAGGCGTCCGACTTCAGCTCAGGTCATGATCTCGCGGTTAGTGGGTTCAAGCCCCGCGTCAGGCTCTGTGCTGATGGCTCAGAGCTTGGAGTCTGCTTTGGATTCTGTGCCCCCTCTCTCTCTGTCCCTCCCCCGCTTGTAATTTCTCTCTCTCTCTCTCAAAATAAACATTTTTTAAAAAAAATTTAAGTGTCTTCTCTTAAAACCACTGCCTAAGAAAACTGATTTTTCAACTAAATTCCATCTTATAAAAATGATATAAAAGTACTTACTAACATGACACATAACAAAAAATTTTTTTAAAGCTAGTGTTTACAGATACCCTAAGAAGTGATATGACAGATAAATCAAAATACATCTTCAAATTAACCTTAGAAGAGTCTACTTTAAGAGAAAAACAACTTACTTCTAAATTCTTACTTCTTACTTCATAAATACGAAATTAAGTATTTGTGTATGGGCAGGTATTGGAAAATATTCTATTCAGAGATTGATCTTATGTCCCTTAAAATAAGAGTATGAGGTGCTAACCCAAAGTCAAGATTGGTTTATATAGAATATTATTCACCTTTTGATTGTATAACTTCATTGAGCTCCACCTGGAAAATTAAAATAGCCTACATACATCCCGAATATTTCTGCTTAAACGAAGTATTGATTTTTGCTGTACTTATCCAAGCCTCAAAGAACTAGTTAAACAATTAAGATAACATAATATTCTGAGGGGAAAATGCTAACATCAAAAATGCTCTTGAATGAAAATGGGTATGAAGGACTATATCCCCAAATCAAACCAACATCATGATCTTTTCTCCCCCATCTTTCCCCGTGCTTACCTCACTAAGAATAACAACACCTAAGCTGGGCATCAATCCAGAATTTTATGGCCATACAACAGCAACTTTAATTTCTCTAACTATATTGTTGTTTTAAGATGATTACCCAACTGTATATCTGGGACAATGCTAGTATTTCTTGTGCTTAGCCATTCACTCACTTTTGTTATAAAAGGATATCCTCTGTGTAGACCTTGAGTTAACACATACCAAATATTGAATTCTTGTTTTAAAAATATCTTCAAATATTGAAAAATTCACTTACAGTTGAGAGTTTAGCAAAACACTAAGGATAACAGTCTGCTATAGTCAGTCTCCTGTGACTAATAAAAAAGCACTTATGTGGATTTTGAAACAATTAATTTTGCAACTCTCACAAAATAGACTGTGCTGCAAAATCCAAAGAAGACGTGCGCTACATAAATCTCATAAAGCAAAGGGTTCCAAGGTGATACAACAAAGAAGAGAGATTTCTTGTAAAGGGGGATTCTTAATTCTTTTATAAGCACAAAATGTAACCAATATCGTGTGTCTGCATTTTATAGGATATCTATCTGAACATGCAAAACTATTTATTTTCATAAAATGTGAAGCAGTGCATGGAAAAAGATATAAAGAAATTACAAATTACACTTCGGATCTGATCATCTGAGACTCTACGTCGGAAGGTGCGTCCAAAGGAGCTAGTGTACGAGGAGCCTTTCCCACCTCACGGAGCAAAGGCAAAGGTCAGTAAGGAGATACTTCCACGAGATTCCCTTCGCACGAGGTGCACTCCCTGATTGACGCAATTCTTTCCTTTCATTGTACTATTCCAATTCTTATGATTAAAAACTCATCTCAGTTATGGCATTTTACTACTATTGGGAGTCATGTGCATAACCTCTTCTTGGCTACCTGAAAACAACCACAATATAGGTCACAGTGATCCCGAAATGAGTGTAAGGAATTTGCCAGTGTCCAATTTTCACCATGAAACGAAAGACAGGAAGCATTTTGCCCCCGTTGGGGTCTGATCAATTTACTACGCCCTATCAATGGGGAAGGCTTTAATCCCAAGACTAAAAGACACTCGCATCTTCTCACAGGGTATGTGAGGATCTCTGTGTTTTCCCTAAACAGGAGGCAGCTCTGGGAACGAGTCATGAATATTCATCATCGTTGCCCGTCAGGCCCAAAAGCAACAGGGTGGGTGGGTGTGATCTTACAAAACCGCTCCACTAGCTTGCCTGCAGAACATGGAGAACACTCTCGATACGGAAAACGACGACAATCAAGATAGCTTGGACACTGGAACATTTAGTCAGTGCCAGTGGGGCCTTCCACTCAGTGCTCACAACAACCCTAGACATTACGTTTTAATCTTCAGCTCACAAATGGGGACACTGAGGCGTTAGGATGTTAAATAATTTGCCCCCCGCAATCGGACACCGAAGCCCATATGCTTGTTGATGATGCACGTCTTACCACTGTTTTTACCTTTTTTTTTTTTTTTCATGTAGCCATGATTTCTGTACCATATTGATAGAGTCATTCCCTTACTGGTGACTAGAAGTCATTACCTAGATGAGACTCCACCACAGTGGGCATCTCCTATGTATGTAGACTATTTACCCAAAGTGTTTACGTGCGCAAAGTTCAAGTCTGTTAAAGGCCTGACGGACTGAAATTATTATATATTCTGGAAATGAAAGTATTAAGATATCTACCTTGTTTCTTTTTCTGGCATCAACAAGATAGCTGTAATTCATTTATACTGACTTATCCAATCAACAAACTATTATTGAGTGACTATCGTAAGCCAAGAACTGTGCCGTGTATTGAATATATAAAGATAAATAAGCCATGGCGTAGGCCTATATCCTCAGAGCTTAGCATCTAGTGGAAGGAGAGACAAATGAGTAGATAAATACAACAACAATGTGGGAAAGGCAGTGAGAAGAAGACGTTTAGGGTGTGGTCGGTGTCCAAGGAAGAGTAGCTCACTCAGGTTTGGGCAGGGAAGTCAGAGGGGGCCTCCGGAAAGAAATAATTCCTGAGACAAGTTTCCGAGGTGAGAAGAAACTACCTATGTAGTTACCCCAGGTGGAAAGGATTTGATCATCTGAAACCACCATCCTTGAAAAATAGAGACCTCAAAAGAAAGGCACGGCTTTTCATGAGGTCATCTCAATGATCCAAGGGCAAGCAGAACACCTGAATGCCTGAGTCACAAGATCCCCGGGCCTCCCCCCCCGCCCCACCAGACAATCACTGTACATATTAAGGCTGAAAGATCCGCAATGGGGCAACAAGATCCCCTCGGCCCACATTGGAATCCTTATCATTCCTGGAACCATCTTGTCCACAGTGAACTCCATAACCTACACCGAGTCAACCAATGTCTCTCTGGGCCTGAGACAAGCAAGGGCTTCCAACAATTCTCACTTGAGGGCAGCCCCCACCCCTTTTTTTGCACGAGCGTGCGGCATAGAGGGGTGCTGGATCAATACAACCCAGGAGAAGGCTTCCGTGTAGAAACCCTTAAATGTTTAATGAGCAACAGGAGAGGGAGGGCAAGAAGGGAAGAGCCAGGAAGAGGAGAAAGAAAACAGGAAGCGAGAGAGGGGGAGGGAACGGTGGGATTGTTGCCGAACATCTAAATGTACGCCCTCACACGGGGGCCGCAGGGGGCCGTCCCTTCTCTTAGGCAGGCACAACCAAGGCATCCTCAGCTCAGAAGGGCCCCAGTAATGGGTGGCGGTGGAGTGACATGGGAAGCACAGGGTCAGCGGCTAGTGGCATCTGACTGTTATTCTCTTTCACAGCAGCCAACAGTTCCTTTGAGGATGTGCTCACTGGGCCCAAGGGGGTCTCATGGGGTCTGAGGTCATCTCTGGTCCACAGGAGGCTGGGACAGCTCCCGAGACCACTTTAGGAAAATGACCACACCAGACCTTTGCTCCAGACTTACTAGATATTAGTGGTCAGCCCAGAGCTCTGTTCAAATGGGCCGCGAACCCGAAGCTGGCCCGGCTCCCAAAAGCCCCTCTGTATCGGGGCCTCATGTCCAAGGCCATAATAAGGCCAGCCATGGCAAGTGGAAGGGCGGGCACATGTTCCACTGTGGCCCGTGTTAAACAACCCTCTGGGCTAAAAGCCCCCAACACTTAACAGAGCTGCATTCTTTAGAGGACAAGAATGTATGCGGACTGTGGAGAGAAGCAAGACAGGAGGCTTTCGAAAATAGATTAGCACCCCTCCCTCCGGAGCTCCCTCCTCACCCAGAGAATCCCACACCCGGGCTGCCAAATCAGTCATCTCCAAGCCTGGGACGGAGTAAAGCGGAGTCTGTGGCAGTCTGAGCACATCTCAGAGTTTCCTTAGGAAATGACGAAGTGGGAGTTATAACTCCCAATTTTTCAAGAATCTGAACCAATCCGGAAAATAACACCTTAAACAGGCAGTCTTTCTCAGAGCAGCCCCAGGTCGGATGCGCATCTGGAGGGCTGATGAAGTCTGGCCTTTCGAGCCAACACTCCAGCCCGAAGGGCGCAGCGGCAGAGAAGCACGCCATCTTTCCACGAAGTCAGGGGGTCGGTCCACTCGGGCTTCCTTGTGCCAAATCAAATAGCGGAAAAGGACCAGCGCTCACTTTTTTATTATTCTGCATTACCTTTTCCTCAATCGATTTTCTGCTCACTTTTTTTTCCCCGTCTAGCAAGTGCTTTAAAGACAAAAACTATGCATGAAGTGAAACATCCCGCCCCGCCCCCAGCCTACTACCCAGAGAGATGCAACAC